GGAAAATCTAATCGGCTATAATCGCCCAACAACCTAACAAATATTCAAGTCTATATATTATTATTATTATTACCAGTACAATAGATCGTCTAAGTATGCTCTTTCTTTTTTATTATAATTATTTTATTGCTATTGGACCTAAAGATGAAATAATCGTAAATGTAATCTAGGACCACTGTAGTTCTTCGAAAATAAAAGCAAAACAATTACTAATAATCTGTAGAGTGAAGATGATATCGCACTATAAATAATAAAAGGTGGAAGCTAGAGAAACGAAATAATTAACGCGCAGCCACATTAATATCTTAAAAAATCTAGGAACAATTAAATGAGAACAGAAGGAATTCCCGATTGCAACCGGCATAACAATCAAATTGAATAGATGTGTATAGATGTGCACATACATACATATACAATATATGAACTAAGGCATCCAATCCCGGACCATTTTTTGAATCCCGGGATTTCGGGATCTTAAAGTGGTAATCCCGGGATCCCGGAGTTTTTCGGGATATTACTACCATTAATTAAAATATGCTAACAAACTAGTTTTGGGGTCTTTCTTTAGTGCGAATACTAGAAATAAAAACCAAATTTGTGTTAAGCAAGGAGATATAAATGTCTTTATTTTATATAAGTTTAAAAAGCTAATTACAAACTGAATAAACTAAAACCTATGGAATTGAAATTCATTCATATTACAGTCGCAGTCATTTTTACAAAAAGTAAAAAATAGGAGATCATCTTTACACTCACATATAGTATTTATTTTTATATATATATGTGTAGTAATATTAGTACACCAAAACATACATATGTATATATTCTTAAGTATATTCATATACAAGTCGGACGGATTTCGTAAAAAAATATGATGTCATGTCTCCAATTCGCTTCAAATTTTTTTATGGGTTCTATACATGAAACAAGCTAACACGAATTCGAGGATTTTTTTTCTGTGGAGATATGATCTGTCAAAGTTCGAATTTTTTCGTGATTCTGACCATTCATGTACTTCTTCAAATCGGGATCCCGAGTCCCGGTACTAGATGCCTTCATAAAACATACAGTGCGCTGTAAGTAATTCGCTAGCGACAGGTTATGCGATGCCCGTATTGAAAATATCAAAATTTAGCGATTTTGTGCATTACTGGTTGTTAGGCAATGCGCTACCGATTAGTAATCGCCACTTTTATACCAGGTAATCGCTAGCTAAAGGACAAACCACGCGCACCGCTCGGTACGCTTCAATGACATTGCCATGATAAATTCTTTAGGCAAAAAAATTGGTGTCGCAATTTTTGTGACTAGTACCCGCCTGGCTACCACTAATGATTTCGCTGGCCCGCCAGTAGTGAGTACTGCAATGGGATTCTGACAATCGCTAGGCTACATTTTCATCGCCAAAATTCTCAAAGGAAAATCAGTGTGGCCTAAAAGCACGCAACATGGAAAAGTAACGGAACCAATGTGTAATCTACCAAAGCCGCCAGTATGAGGGGCATGTACCTAGATGTTGCATGTTGTTAAGCGCGGCTGCTATTATTTTGGAGATTTTTAGCGATCAAAATTAGCTATAGCGAATGCTGGAATCCGGTCGCTGTGGTCATCCGATATTAGCGATACCAATTCCTTTGCCTAACGAATTTAGCATTGCAATGTCATTGAAGCGTACCGAGCGGTGCGCGTGGTTTGTCCTTTCGTTAGCGATTACCTGGTGCAAAAGTGGCGATTACTAATCGCTAGCGCATTGCCTAACGAGCAATGCTGAAGTTGCTACCGAATTGCCTGACAATCGGTAATGCATGGAATCACCAGCACCAGTCATCAGCAAAACTCCAGCAGAACTACAGGGTGGAAGCTCGACAACTTCCAAGCAAAAAAAAAAAACATTACCTTAGAAACTGATGCGGAATCCAAACAAAATTGGTAAGCGCTGCCTCTTTCGCTTCTAGTAGGCATTAGAAGGGCGTGTCGTTGGGGGTAATGGCTTGAAGGCGACTTTGCATTCCCCGTAATAGCTTCTAGAGCCGCGATTCCATATTTCTTTGCTGGGTTGCTATCCAAGTATTACGAGTCAGCGACTTTTTAAATTTGTAGCAAAATTTAAAAAGAGAAGCTTCCGTTTTTTCCAATTCGGTAATTGCAATTTATAAGGTATCAAAGACAAATATTGCGAATTACTGAAATGTATTCAGAAGCAAACGACTAAAAGAATTTACGAAACTTTTTGGCCGATGAGTTGTAAGGCAAAATATCGAACTATACTACTCGTTATTGCAATTTTCAACTTATTGAGTTTCCAGTGTATAAGTACATAAACATTTTAATCAGCACTGCTTCCTCTCTTTGCAAAACAAAAAAAACGGCAATAATAATCGCAAAAACCGACAATTGAAAAACCTCTGGCAATGAAGCGGGTAAGCGTTGACGCATTCGAAAATCACTGTCAATGGTTTGTGAATAAAAAATTTGGTTTGATCGGATTTAGTTGGCGATGTGTTGAGAACCTGAACGGATTTACTAATTAGGCGGCGCGCAAATAAAATAGTAGCTAAGTAAGAAAAAAGTGGGTAATAATAGTGCGATTGGTTTATGACGTTTATACCAAGGAAAAGTAAGTGAAGCAAGTACAATAAAAATGGAACTAACTAAAACAAACTGTTTTAATATGTAAATAAATAAAAGTAGAAATTATAAATTTATCAAATACTAAAATTCTTCCAATAGAAATAAATAAGTTGAGTTTGAATGATGAATAACAGAGTTACTACTGGTAATCACCTCTGCGAAAACGAAACGTGAATAAGGAAAATAACAAAAAAAAAATTGTTAGACAATAAAATGCAAGCCAATAAAACGAATTAAAGTACCCTGTAGGGAATTCAACTAAATATAAATGCACTATAAGTTCACTTTCTTTCAACTAGGGGAGACTACGCCTCGACTACGTTACAATGCTTTCAAGTGACTACTTTTACATGATGACGTCGCAAAAAAGGTCAGTTTATTTTCAGCTAACTACAAACCGGTTATTAGTAAGTTCACTTGTAGGGTGTCAATTCATATAATGTTTTTGGTACTCTCGGCTTTTATACTTATTTTAGGTTAACTATTACCTGCATGATTTAGTTAGCATGTATTAAGCCCGCTAAAGATGTGCTATTAACATACATACATACATAGGGAACATACATATATACATACATACAATTTTTTGTTTTTGAACACAAGTTTTTTT